ACCGGATGCCTGCCCAGGAAGCACCAGTCACCAAGCCGGAGGGTGTTGGGGGACCCCCCTGAGTGCTCCCTGGTGGATCTGGAAGTGGACTGGGAGTGCTTTTGGTCCACTTCCTGGTCTGCTGCTGAGCACACAGGGGAGCCCCCCACCCTTCTGTGGGATGCTCCATGTACCCCAGCATCACAGCATTCACGAACCCCTGCTACCTAGAGGTAGGTAGAAAAATCATTTAAAGCTGTCTCTATGTCTGAATCTCTCCAAATCAATTTGATTTGATTCGGAGAGATTAAAGGGTCCTCTGATTCAATTCAGATTCGGAGATTCGACCACTGAATCAGGCCAAATCTCTGCCAAATTGAACCAGGGACTGAAGCTTCGCACAGTCCTACTAACTATATCCATATTTTGGTGTGAGACTATTGTTAAGTTTTTATTTGCTTTAATGCTTTGCAATTCCTTTATCTGCCATTAGGTGGGAGCCTTAACTTTTTTATACCTCTCAAACCTAGTCTGTCTGGCTTACTAAAGCCAATTTCATAGTATTATACAAGGGAATAGAACACTACTTTTCTAAATATGGCATTTATCAGGGCTAACATGACACTCAAAAGGTCAGATATCTTTCTAAAAAATATGAGGTAGTTGAAATATATAATAATAATAAAATATATAATATTGTCCTATGAGAGGAATTATATTTTGAACCAGATAAAGAATGGCATATATCCTGAAGCAGGATCTAGCAATTCAGGGACTTGGATAGAGGACTGTAACATGTAGCCAAGGGCCCCTGTTACAGGGGAAGGCACAGCGGGCTAGCCTGGTTGTGGAGGCAGGCTGCTGGGCCAGGCAAGCTGCAAAGTGATAAGCTGGATGAATAGTGCAGATTTCCAAGCATCCAGAGGACTGCAAGCAGGAGAGATAAGCTGCAGCATGGAGGGGCAGGCTGCCCATGAGGCAAAAGGCATCTGGGGCATAAAGCCCAGTGCCTGGAGGAAGGTGGGCAGTCTGGCCTGGTGTATTGTAGGAGATGCAGCTCTCAAGAGGAATCAGGAGACACCCTGGCAGGCACCAAACTGCCCTGAGAGCTCCAAAGGGAAGGAAGGCTGGCAACATGTCTTTTACCTGGAATGGGGGAGGATTTGTTTTGTTCAAAAGCAGTTGCTTATACTTTTGTTATAGTTAAGTTTACAACTGGAGGACTGGTAGGGCATGTCCAGATAAGCGTGCACGTGCAGTTTGCACCGTCTC